ACAAGTGCTTTAAGTGGTGCAAGCGTATGTTGTCACTCAAAAATTCAGATGAACCTAGAAAATAGTGAGTTTAATTCCTAAACAATCTGGACGCAAGCACAACGCAGTGCAGGTACAGAAAACAGGAAATGAGTACGGTTTACCGCAGAGGCAGGAAACAGCAGTCCGTCAAAGGTTCCGCCTGCGAGCTGAGCTCGTGGAGTCCAGACACTGGTGAAAGGCCACAGGGAGCAAGCAATTCACTTGGCTTAACTTTTTATGCCTGCGCACCACAACAGCCGCAGCCGGAGTTGTCATGTTTTCAGATTGTCTGTTCATCCTGTTCTTATGAACACCACATCTCAGGAACATCTTAAGGGTATTTATTCAAATTTGGCACAAACATCTACTTGGATTCAAGGACGATGTGTCAAAGCACTCCATCAATCCTCTGTAAAAAACTGTCAATATAGTGATAACTTCCATTTCACCAAAAAATACACTTCATATCTTTAACTAAATTCCTTTAAAGCCTTCACTACATATCTTATATGAGTTTGGACAGACATGCATGGAAACTGAAACTTGGCTGCTTGGCAGAGACACAGCTGTGAGGCCATAATTCTACTCTTCTCTAGTTCAGTAATTCCCACAATGTAAAAGAAACCTGGCCTAGCATGTCACTGTTAATTTGTTTTATTTGCATTTTTAAACTACATTCAAATTTTTTACATTGGCTCACAACATCACAGATGCAAAAAAAGTAGTTTGAAGTGAAAGAAAACGGTTTTGGTGACAACAGCTTCCTAAAGATAAGATCTCATCAACGCCTGAATCACTTGTGAGGCTGTTGTCATTTTCATTAAAATGGATATTTGTCTCCTGAGGTGCAACAGTCTCTCAGTCTGCCCTGTAGAACACCTGATGACAGCTGCCCTCAGGCTCTGCTGCTGGTGACAGAAATCCAGTACACCAGCACAAAGAGCGTCTGTGCTGAAATTAAAAACTTTCATTTACGTTTAGCACATTATGACCACTGGCATCTGTGTGCCACTTTAAAATGCTGCACACACTGTTAAACAAACATTCAAATTGTATTTTAGCAGAAACTGATTATGCACTGGCTTAGACTGAGGGAAAAAAGGGTGGTGACTGTTTTTTGAAGATGTAAAATGCAAATGAGGCAGTGTATCCTGGATCCTGTTAGGTGGATGTACTGGTTACACTTGTTATTGCCTGAGGATAAGGAGGGAAGAGAGAGAGAAGGAAGGAGCACTTACAGTTCAGCCCTCAGGTCATATGCTACCTTACTGGAAAAAAAAATGGTTCCACAGAAACACAGGTCACTAATGTTAGTCACAGGCTGTGAGGGTCAGCCAAGATCTGAGCCTAAAAATGTCCTATGTCAGTAATATCTAACTTATCGGGATGATAAGTTCTTTGGGTAGCTCCAGTAAGAGGTCATATTCACCAACTCAAAATGTCTTAAGATGGAATCATGACAAACAAAAAAGAAATATATTGTTTTTAATGATAATATGCTGGAATTCATTCCGTTTAGAAAGTGTCAGTAAACAGTCAAATGGAGCCGTAGCTAAACAGTGAGGCTGAGAGACAGTTTGGGAATTTACCTGACAGAAAGACAGACAGCCCGCCCCCTGGACACAAGGACACAGCGCTGTAAAGAGGTTGTTAGAGAGTCCATCCCCGATTCAGTCAGACAGAAAGACACTGAGACAGGTACGGCTGCAGTTCGTGGAGAAAAGACATAAAGGAGACTGTCACAGCAGCCAGAAAGCCCCGAGCCTGATGTCACAACTAAATTATACTCATTTCCAATGCAAACACATTTTAGCTTCTCAAATATGAGGATGTACTGATTTTCTATGTTATATATGATTACAAATGAAATATTTTTAGGTTTTCAACTGGGTAAAAAAAGACATTCAGAGTCAATGATTTGGGCTCATTCATTCCTAATTAATGAAAAAAATCATATAACTACAACACATTACCTTATAGTTACCAATTGAAGCAAACCTGCCCAAAAAAATAGACTTGCTCAAATAAACAAAATCAAACGTAAAATGTAGCAATTCAGTGAGTGAAACTGTCACAAAAGACACACCGACCCTTAACTGATAAACAGGGCTGAGAGACAGTTTGGCAGCTGAACAGACTGGCACAAAGTCAAGTGAACAAAAGCTGTATAAATAAACAGAAGAGAGAGACATTTAGACAAGAACAGAGGTAACAGAGAGACAGGCAGTCCGTGAGACAGCCAGTGTGTCATTCAGACATTCAGACAGACAGACAGACTGAGCGCCACTGGCCAGCGTAGGCACAGATAAGCGGCTGGACTTTGCTCTCTCGGCCGTGGGTGTTGCAAAGAGACCAGAGATAAAACCGGTGGCCTGAGAGATGAACACAGAGGAGGCGGCTGATTAAATTTAACCTGATGGTGTGCATGTGTATGAGAGTGTGTGTGTGTGTATGTGTGTGCCCTTTTCTGGACAGCAAGGACAGTATTGATCAAAACACGACCATCGACTCATGCGAGTCAAAAAATGACAATAGGCCGGCTCTCCGCTGAGGAGAAACGCAGCAACAGCAGCAGGTTAAAGGTCAGGCGAGCAGGTCTGCAGAAAAGCTGCTGGTTTTGATCTTTGGGTCGGCAGTTCCTTGTTCTTTAATGTTGCCTGGAGCAAAACGTTTGACTTCAGCTGTGTGCGAACTGGTTTGCTACAAACGAACAAAGGTTAAAAGGTGATTGCCAAATTCAAGAAATTCTTTTTTCAGGCAGAAACTCCTGGTTCAGCTTGATTAATAAAGTGATGATTATGTCATCACCCCATCCGCTAAATTCTCGATGTAATTTCTATTTCCAGCTGGATTTTGTTCTGCCCGTTATATTTTTCATGATTAGCTGATACTTGCCTTGGTTGAACTGACCTGGTTTCTCCTCCCCAGACACATGTATAAAAATACTCAGCTGTAGTCTAAAGAGATTTTCATAAATAAAAAAAGTTCAGTGAACCTCTGTACAGCACTTGAACACACATCTGGTCGTTGTCCCTCACTGTGAATTCCAGGATTCACGAGTATTCAAATACATGTGCGACTTAGTCAGTGGAGAATGTGAAAACAGCCTGTTACAGTAGTCACACACTCTGTGCCTACACCAGTCTTATAGTGGAGGGCTGATATTTATGGGATAAAAAATATATAAGAAAACACAATTCTGAGTGAAGGGGGTCTTTGAAGTTTCCTCTTTCCTTATTTTCTGTAACACTCTGTTTTTATTACACACAGCACCTGCTGAGTTTGTCAAGTCCACCCTGTAACAAGATACACTGTGGATTTCAAAGTAAAAGTTACATGAAATAGTTTGAAAGGTATTACATTGTTTAGTGTGGTGTCTGTTTACACCGAGCCTCCAGTGGATCCAGCAGTGATAAGAATCAGTCTGGTTAATATGCTGGCTGTGTTACAGGCCAGACTCCTGCTTGTCCACTTTAGTTTCAGGATGTTTTTATATGCAGTGGAGGATGTGTGAGATACAATATCTTCAGGACTTTGTACCGCTCGCTCCTTCTCATGTGTCTGTGGAGAAGCTCTGGTATAATTTTATGATGTCAGGTGAGCAAGACACAGGGGAAACCCCTGCGCTGACTTAAACCTTTATCGACAAAGAATCACACACCCAACAAAGACAACTGATAAATCCACTCCAACAGACTACTGCGTTACTTCGCCCCGGGGCAAAGCCAATACCGCTAGAATCCCCTTGGTAAGAACAGACTGCCCCTACATCAGTACAACACGCTCTGCCAAGGTGCTCTCGGGCAAAGCACCTCATTCAAATGCTCCATAGTGATGATAATGTGAAGCAGGGGAAGGTCAAACCTAACGTAGACGTGTACACGTCTGCGTTAAAACAACAAGCAACTTAAGCACATGACGTTTGGTGGCAGGTGTTGGTGGTAACAAAAATGAAGATGGCCATGAGGATCAAAAGTAAGACAAAGTTTGCCACCATGTTGGAGTAATTTATTTTTAACTTAATGATTCATAAATGAGCAGCTGTTTTGGGACAAACCAACACAGACCGCACAAAAAGTCCAGCTATCAAGCTCGCACAAATGATGCAAAAGCACAAATTGTCCTGCTTTCTGCCTCGACACACCTTTACATCATCTTTTTACTGCTTTTAACGTGTTGGCATGTACCTTTAAAACACACACTTGTGTTTTATGGGCACTGAGGCTGTTCGTGTTTCTAGACGTGGAGTTGACCAAGAAAAACGTTACTACCAAGGGAGTGTTTCTGGATCCATGACTTGGGCGCTTGAATGCCGACTGGAATGAACAAGCAATTCAATTTGTCTCGCTTCTTATAATGAATTTGTGATATTGGATTTGTCTGGTCTTTTTTGACGATCATGTGATTTATGAGTCTCCTCACTGTTGCACTTGACTGAGTTCTAGAGTTCACCTGTGCTTAGGTGCAGTATTGTTGCCGGTCTGTATGATGAGGAAGGGCGTCAGCCCGAAACATGTGTGCTATGTAACAAATCTATTTATTGGAGTGCTGTACTAGTTTTTCATCATTGTACAGATTTTATTTGATGAATCAGCACCCAATTATACACCCTGAAAACAGCACAGAAATAAAAATAGTTCAACTGCCGCGATGAAACAACACGTTCATGTTTTTTGTTCATGCACACACAGGTCAGACGTGCAGCAGCACCTGCTCAGGTTAAATCCAGGACTGCTGGAAATGGTAATATAAAGAAAAACTCAAAACACAAAGTATGTTATGATTATCTTGATATAAAGCACCCTGAAGACAATCTGCCTCTTATTTAACACTAAACTGCATCTTGTTAGCAACAATCAGTTGTATTTATAATATTATTCTATAGTAACCAATACCTATAAAACACTGTCCAATTATACTGTGTACAGTTTATCATGTTCCAGATACACTACACTGATTTTCTTCTCATTGTCCCTGATGATAACATTCATCTGACATCATGTCAGACATCATAAGCCTTTTACCTACTTAATAGCAGCCTCAGATGTGGCCTTTGTGACATTCTTTTTCCTGGGATCATGTCCATTAAATGTCCATTTCAATAATTTCAGTGTGAAATTTCTCTTTTTTGCCGATACAGAGGGGAGCAGACATTTTTGGCAGCGGGATTGTTAGATTCCCCCTCCAATCTTTACAGTCAGCCATAACTGTCATGGTCTCAGACAAGACAACAGAGCTACAGGCCAGTGTTTCAGTCCTGAAGCAGAGTGGACATCCTGTTTCTTCATAGCCGTTTTCAGTTTGAACAAACCAAGAGGTGGACTGTGACAGTTTCAGGACAGTGTGAGGAGACATAAAATGTTCACAAGTGTGATGAGACCTTCAGGAATGTTCACCAACATCTGGACAGCATGTGTTGGGTCGAACACAGAGTAAAAGTGTGTGTGTGTGTGCGCAACTGGCTAGACTTTAAGACAACACTACTTGAATTGACATGACAGCCACCACTGTCCACTACCTTGTAAATCACAGACATTAAGACATACACGCCCACGTCTGTACACAAACACACACAAAGACATACAGAACACGCCTCTGGCTCACAGAAGGATGAGGACAGGGCGTCCATCCTTTGCCAAATGAGCTTGAACCTGGCTCTGCTCCGGCATCCAGATCTGGGCCTGACTGGGTAAGAACCAAGGTTTTGATCCTCAATTTGAAACCAGTTTGGCAGAGCCAGATTCAAATGTCTCCCTGGAGTCAAAGTCCACTTTATCTGTCCAGTTTTCATGTTTGTTTTTTATGCCAGTATTAAAGCACATGCAACACTAGGCTGTGTGAACAAAGTGCATTTCCTCTGTTCAAAGTCCTGCCAGCTTTTTCTGTGAAACTTGCCCTGGTTTAGAAAAATAGGTTCAGATGCAAGACAAGAAGAAATAAACATCAGGAGGGCAATCCTGAGGTTTGGAACAACTACAGCTGTTTGCCAAAATGCCCTTTTCTGAAACTTAACAAATTACATTGAGTAAATTAGAATGAAAAAGAGAGTGAAGGACAGACAGGTTAGAACATATTTACAGATTCATCATTTTGTCTATAAATAAATATCAATTACAGTTTCATAAAGGAAATCAAACTGCTTGTTTTGTTTGACCAACAGCCCAAATCCAAAAATAATCTGTTTACTATTTCAAAAGATGAATAAAAGAAGCAAATCTTATAATTTCAAAGGTGAAAACAAATGATATACAAATAGACATTTCTTCAGTCTAGGTCCACTGAGAGTCCAGGACTCTGTCAGGGAGACCCTGTTCACACTCACACCTGGAAACTGCCCAGTACAACAACCAGAGAACGACCTGTGGCCACTGAGAACCCTGCCCATCCAGGAATTGGACCAAGAGTCTTATGGTCACAAGCTCGTTTCTCCTACCGTTAGGCCATCACATAACATTAATAATGGTAGAAGCTAGACTTCAGTCACCAAACACTTAGGGGGTTATTTACTAAACCTGTCACCAATTACTGTCAGCTGCAGAAAATATTGCATCAATTTTTTATATACGTATGCGTATTTCCCAACAGTAATGATGTAAATTAGCACAGCCACAGCTGTGTTAATCTGGATACACCTCTGCTTAGGATCTATTTCCTGAAGGCAAGTGAAGAAGTGTAGAAGTTTATTTAATATAGAAATTCCCTTC